ATTCCTCAGCACCACATAAGCAAAAAGAAAAAAGCCGGAAGTGAGGCTGTGGCTCAAATGGTAGAGCGTTAGCCTTGAGCTGAAGAGCTGAGGGACAGCGCTCAGGCCCAGAGTTCAGGCCCCACGACCGGATCAAAAAAAAAAAAAGAAATGCTGGGGACAATTTCAAGTCATTAGCTCATTAGCAAAAAGAAGCTCAGGGACAGAGTCCAGGCCCTGAGTTCAAGCTCCAGGACCAGCACTAAAAAATGTTCAGAAGCTAGATTATGGAGACAGATGATAGTAAATTTACTAATTGTCACTGAAACACATTCTTAAAATGGTTGAATTTTATAGCATGAAAATAATGCTTCAATAAAGCTGTCTTAAAAAATTCATATAACAAGGGGGAAGGTATCATGACCTTAAAAATAGAATGTCTACAGCTGGGCGCCGGTGGCTTACGCCTGTACTCCTAGCTACTCAGGAGGCTAAGATCTGAGGATAGAAGTTCAAAACTAGCCCAGGCAGGAAAGTCTGTGAGACACTTATCTCCAATTAACTACCAGAAAACTGGAAGTGGTGCTATGGCTCAAGTGGTGGAGCACTAGCCTTGAGCTGAAGAGCTGAGGGACAGTGTTCAGGCCCAGAGTTCAAGCCCCACGACTGACAAAAAACGAAAAAACAGACTGTCTGATTTTCAGTATGGAAAACTCTTCCCTCTCCTTTCAGAATTCTCGCTGACTGCTTCAAATTTGCAATACTAAATTAGACAAAAATGCACATACATGGAACTGTTTTGATAGTATGAGTTAATAATAATCAGTCTGTTTCTTGATGAAAAGTCCATGTTAAAACTTTCCTCCCTCAGATCACAACCCTACAATATGGGGCTCCCAATACCCAAGATATACTCATTAAATGGGGAACTCCTACCTTATCTTCTACGATTGTCAGCCATATGCCACCCTTCTCCTCCACCCACAAGAGCCTGTATGTTAAAGTTATAGGTTCCCAGTTAAAAACATCAGCTGGATTGCTTCAGGTTTACCTTAAGCAGAGCACGGGCAATCGCAATCCTCTGTTTCTGTCCCCCTGACAAAAATAAAATTAAAAAAAAAGCTTAACAAAAATACTCTGGGATAGGCTCTACTAATACTCAGGAGAGGCTTTTCTGATAAGATACAATAATTTAAAGACAGCTTCTTTTAGCTAGTGAGGGATTATGAATGGCAGAGGAGAAATATTACATTTTTAACCAATAATCTCAAAATTAATAATTATTATCATAGCTAACATTTACTGAGATTTCTTATATGCCAAGCATTTTGTAAATGTGTTTGTGTTTGGGGGAAATTGAACCTAGGTCCTTGTACACGCTGGGCAAGGACTACTACTGAGTGAGTAAGCCTGACCATAAATGCACATGCTACGTTTTTCAGTCTTTCAAAAAAAATGCCTTAAGGCAGACCCTATAACTCCCATTTTACAGATGGAACACTGAGGTCCAAGGGCAGCACGTCTAGATTACCTAGCTAGTGAGTAGCACAGCATGTCCCTGAAACAATGTGAAAAATTACACATCTGGCATAAGTTGTATGCCTCCTCTTTTTTTTTTGGTTGGTCATGGGGCTTGAACTCTGGGCCTGGGTGCTGTCCCTCAGCTCTTCAGCTCAAGGCTAGTGCTCTACCACTTGAGTCACAGTGCCACTTCCAGTTTTCTGAGTGGTTTATCAGAGATAAGAGTCTCACTGGACTTTACTGCCCGGGCTGACTTTGAATCTGGATCCTCAGATCTCAGCCTCCTGAGTAACTAGGATTACAGGCGTGAGCCACTGGTGCTCGGCTGTGTGCCTCCTCTTAACAGAATGTCCAGATGAAGGTAACAAGGAACCTGAAGAGACTGCAAGGTTTTGGCACAGCACTCGAAGTGTGGGAGCCCAGGGCTCTAGGAAAGGCTAGGGTATGCATTTCCAATGCTTCCTGTGGCCACTTTGGTCCCCAATCCTTCCTCTCCCACGGTGCCTACTCTCCAGCCTGGGAGTACTCCAACACATACACACACACACACACGCACGCACGCACGCACACACGAAGCTGGTGGCCACCCAAATCCCCTCCTCTTTTTACCTCAACTTCCACTCACAAGAGAATGAGTGGGGAGTGTGGAGACACAGACCTGTGGCCTGCAAGTCTACTCTTTATTTCCATTCTCCCTCCAGAGACTCTAAGCCAGGTGCACGTGGAATTGTCCAAGGCTCACACCTCCTGACCTGGAAGTCCAATCTCACTTTTGGTGAGAAGAGCATTTTTGTTTGCTTGTGGAATATTGCTACAGCACCTGGTGGGCAGCACACCCCCAGATGTTCAGTGAACTCTGCCCTCACACAGGCACCATCACGAGGGAGGTGCAAAGAAGCCTTTCTCCCAAACTTGCAGCATGGGGTCAGAGTGCAAAGAGGCACCTGTCCATCTTGTCTGATCTGTCTCTCTATAATTCTCTAGAGTTTCTGGAGGTGAGAAAAATGCTTGCTGTTTCTGGATACTGCTTAGAGGCAGTTTTAGGTAGAAAGTAAACAGGTGTTGTCCACATTACAGGAGATTTCAGAAAGTGATGAAGTTACTTTTCCATGCTGGATGAAAACCGTATCCACAGGGAATGGTGGATTTTGGAAATGTGTGGAGAGCTCCCTGGAATAAAGCTCTCCAGGGACAAGAGTTCACCTCACAAAAATAGGCAAAATAAAACAGAACATACCCGAGAGGAGGATGCCCTTCTCCCCGACCACAGTGTGGAAGCCCTGGGGGAAGCTCCGGATGAAGGAGGCGGCGTTGGCCACTTCCGCCACCCTCTCCACCTGCTGGGCTGTGACAGAGGAAGGGCTAGCCGCACCATAGGCGATGTTCTCAGCAATGGAGCAGGAAAACAATACCGGTTCCTACAAGGTGGAGATAAAACAAGCTTGTCACAAATTCCAGGGCAGATTTCGAGCAATCATGGTAAATGCAGACCTTGGACTAAGAATGACTGCCACCCTCCCAAGGGAAGGGGCTCTTTGCTGGGCTGTGTCCTCCTTTATCAGCTTACCCAAGAGAGGTCTAAACATTGTTAATTTACTATGACTAGGGCTGATCTGGCCATCTCCATTCCTCACCATGCCTGGGAGAAGGAGACATCACAGAAGAACCCTGAAGGGATTGGCCCAGGTTAAGAGTGTCAAACAGCTCTCAGCTCTTTCCTTCTCAGCTTTTTCGCAGCTCTCTCTCTTTTTCTCTCTTTTTCCCAGCTCTCTCTTTCCCAGTTCTCTCTCTCTCTCTTTCCCAGCTCTCTCTCTCCCAGGTCTTTCCCAGCCACGTGGAGGGCCAACATGGCCTGGTGCCAGCCAGAACGATGAATAAACCTACCCCTTACCTAAAAACAACAACAACAAAAAAAAAAAAAAAACGTGTCAAACACCTGGGCCCTCCTTTAGGCTCCCAAACCCTGAGGGCTCAAGTCCAGCTACCTGCCTTCCACCAAGAATCTGCTTCCAGCTACTACTCTGAGACACACACAAGTCAGGTGGGACCGTGAAATTCCGAAAGGAAGCAAACAGCACCCACTTGCTGATGTTAGCCAGCTCCTTTCACTGCACTCACGTATAAGGGAATACCTATCAGAGAAAGGCCCGAAGCAGGTGGATACACTGTGTCTGCTGAGCCTACCATATGATAACAAACCTGGCTGTGACCAAGCTTCCCTGTCCCACATGGGATTGAGAACAGCCTCATCAAAAGGATAGCTGGGAACCGGTGGCTCACTCTTATAATCCTAGCTACTCAGGAGGTTGAGATCTGAGAACCAGAGTTTGAAGCCAGCTTGGGCAGAACAAATCCTTAAGACCTTTAATCTCCAGTCTCCAAGCCAGAAATGGAGGTGTGACTCAAATGATAAAGTGCAAGCCTTGAACATAAATATTAAGGAAGATATCCCTGGCCCTGAGTTCAAGCCCCAGTATCAGCACATACACACGGGGATGGGGGGCGGAGGGAAGGGGGAGAGAGAGGAGAGAGTGAGTTATTTTCCATTGCAGTAAGGTTCTGCTTTAGAATCTGCAACTTCCCTGCCAGGTGCCCTAGCTCCCAAGAGACATTTGCTTGCAATACCTTAGGCCACCATGCAGGATAATAGCTGTGGCTGGTGCTGGACATGGGATCAGAGAAGGGCCATGGAGATTGATTTTCTTTGCATCTACTCAACTATCTGTGTTGCAAAGAAATACCAGTTCCACTCTGGAGAAAAAGCCAGTGGTTTAGCTGGTAATATGCTGAGCATCAGAAAACAGAAAAAAACTTTTATGTGAGAAGAGTTTAACACATCTGATAAACTTCATCCTTCTCTATAGAAAAGTGTGGGGATCAAGAGAAAAAAATAGGGCTGGTAGCTTGGCTGGAGTGGCAGAGCATCTGCCTAGCAAGTACATAGCTCTGAATTAAAACCAAACAAGCAAATGAAAGTAGGCTAAAGGGAGGGTGAGGTGAGAGGGAATCCTCTCTGGTTACCTGGCTTACTGTCCCAATCTTGGATCTCAGCCAGACTGGGTTTAGTTGGCGGATGTCATAGCCATCGAGACTGACTGACCCTGTGGAGGGAAGCAGAGGTCACTCACTGTCTGGGCCAGTGACTCAAGAAACTCAGAAAGGCTGAGGGAGACAATTCCACATGCTTGGTTTCAAAGATTGAAAATATTATCAGGGCTGGGGATATGGCTCAGTGGTAAAGTGCCTGCCTAGCATTAACTATTTCTACAACAGTTAAGTGGTTCCAGGATAAAAGCACAATGTTTTTCCAGGCTCCCACAGCAAGCACGTGGACAGAGAGCAACACTCCAGTCCAGTCAGCTGTGCTATACAAGGAATGCTCCACAGCACACAGGCACCTTCTCTGGGCTGCTGGGCACTGGTAGGCAATGTGGGGCACTGCTGGGTGCCCTGGTCACAGCTAGGCAGTGCTGGGCACTCTGGTCACAGCCTTGCCACCTTCCTACCAGCAGGGAATGCCTATGGAGGAGCTGTGAACATGGAGAAGTAGCCGAGTTCTATACTTGAAGTGGCAGGATTCAAACCGTAAAAAGCTCCCTAAAATTTGAGGCAAGCTGTGTCCTTAAGAGTCAATCACACACCAAGCACCACCAGTGGCTCATGCCTGTGATCCTAGCTACTAAGAGGCTGAGATAGGAGGATTCCAGTTCAAAGCCAGCCCAGGCAGGAGAGTCCATGAGACACTCTCCAATTAACCACCAAAAAGCCAGAAGTAGAGCTGTGGCTCAAGAAGTAGAGGGCTAACTTTGAACAAAAAGCTTAGGGACAGGGGCTGGGAAGGTGGCTCAGTGGTAGAGCATGCTTGCTTTGCATGCATGAGGCCCTGGGTTCGATTCCTCAGCACAACATAAGCAGAAAAAAAATAAAAGCCGGAAGTGGTGCTGTGGCTCAAGTGGTAGCTTAAGAGCTGTAGGACAGCGCCCAGGCCCAGAGTTCAGGCCCCAGGACCGGACCCAAAAGAAAAAAAAACGAACTAAAAAAAATATATCTGCCGGCGCTGGTGGCTCACGCCTGTAATCCTAGCTACTCAGGAGGCTGAGATCTGAGGATCGCAGTTCAAAGCCAGCCCGGGCAGGAGAGACCGTGAGACTCCTATCTCCAATAAACCACCAGAAAACTGGAAGTGGCGCTGTAGCTCAAGTGGTAGAGCGCTCGCCTTGAGCTGAAGAGCTGAGGGACAGCGCCCAGGCCCAGAGTTCAAGCCCCACGACCGACAAAAAAAAAAAAAAAAGCTTAGGGACAGCTCCCAGGCCCTGAGTTCAAGACCACACACACACACACACACACACACACGCGCACACACAGAGTCTTCCACACACACACACGCACACACAGAGTCTTCAGGCCCTGAGTTCAAGACCACACACACACACATACAGAGCCTTCAGGTCCTGAGTTCAAGACAACACACACACACTCACACACAGAGCCTTCAGGCCCTGAGTTCAAGACAACACACACACACACACAGTCTTCCTGGGCAGTAGCCGTTGGCACTGGCAGGTCCCTGCAACTTGAGGCCTCTCTAGACAGGCAGGTCAGTTCAGGAGCACCTCTGCCCATGGGATGCTGAGCCCCTTACCAGAAACAGGGTCATACAGCCGCAGCAAAAGTGAGACGACTGTGGATTTGCCGGAACCGCTGGAGCCGACCAGTGCCGTCACAGAGCCTGCTGGGATGGAGAGGCTGAAGTCTTGAAACACAGGCACCTCCGGGCGAGCCGGATAGGCGAAGTGTACGTTCTTAAACTCCAATGCACCCTGGAAGCTCTTCTCACTTAGAGTGGTCCCCTCTGAGGTACAGGAAATAAACCACACAAGGCAGAAGTCACAGAGTGCCCCCGCTTCCTGGGAGCAGGGAGAACCCTGACAGAGGGGGCGTTGTACGGCACCCCAGGAGCAGGCAAGGGCCGACCCTCCATCTGCCTTGTGCAGAGCACACTGTGTGCAGTCCTGTTTGATCTTCCAACCCTGACCTCAGCACTGGAACTTCACTGCAAGCCACAGGCCATGGGCTACTCCAGCGGGGAGTTAGGGTCTGCCACAGGGCAGCCTGGCGGCACCCCAGGAGCCTTTCCTGGTGTCATTTCTCTCAAGTAGCTGCTGATCAGGATGATCTTATCTACACCAAAAAAACATTTTGGAAGCACAGTGATGGACTGGGGAGCACTGTATGACAGCCATGAGGCCAGAGGTCTGCTGTGCCCTGGTGCAAACTTGCTCTGGACCATGGAAGACATGCCTGTCTTCTTGCGGGGCTCCGTGCACTGATTTCTGTCATGCGGGAGAACGTGGGCCTCTGAGGGCTGCCAAACTGAGGAGCGCTGAGCTATGAGAGTGCTGCAGCCCCGACCCACCACCTGTCACCAGCCAGGAGGTGACAGGCCGCTCAGTGTCAGCATCTCCGCACTGCCCCGAGAGCCTTGTCTATAGTAGATTCTCTCCTTCCACACCAAATGCCTTGTCTATAGTAGATTCTCTCCTTCTACACCGAGAGCCTTGTCTATAGTAGATTCTCTCCTTCCACACCGAGAACCTTGTCTATAGTACATTCTTGCCTTCCACACCGTCCCTTACAGATGTAAATCACTAAGGAAGATCTGTCTGGATGTGCCTCCCATTTGTGCCCTGTCCCATTCTTGCTTCTGTCCTGCCCTGGCTGGTAACCACTGGCTAAAGGGGCCTTAACAGCAAAGATGTGGTCAGCACCATGCTTCCACAACGTGGGCCTACAGTAAGTAGCATCCCAGTAGCCATCACAGCTTACCTTTTTTTCACAGGCAACCTGCTTCTTCCTCTACAATGTGCATGAACCACATTTGTATAGCTGGTCCCTTCAGAGGCAGGACAGGTGCTGGTCTGACTCTCGAAAGCTAGCATTCAATCCCAGGAAAGAACATTCCTATCTGAGACTCACCATTGAAAGGGAGCTGTGGCTGTCTCTCTAGCAGTTCCCAGAGCCTCCCGCCGGCGCCCAGACCTTTCATCAGCTCAGAGTAAAAAGAGCTCAGACCTGAGGATGAGAAGACTTGGCATCTATCAACAAAACCAGGAAAGACCACTGATTGTCCTCCCCCCACCAGGAGTGAAGACAGCAATGTGTTTTCAATGCGAAAATCTGCTCCTTTCTGGAAGGAGTTGAGGCAGATGCCCAGGAATTGATACTTGCTTTTCCTTCTGTCTTATACTCTCACATTTCCCTCTTACGCCCAGTTTTCCTTTAGCTTCTCCTCCCAGTGGTGTAGATTTCTAATTTATGAAAGATACAGTTAGCTGAGCAGCAGTGAATGAGTTGGATACCACAGACGAAGTCCACCATGAAAAACACAGTGTTGTGAGATGTAAGCTTATCATAATAGGGATACAAATATTTCAATGCTGTGGTTCTTTCCTTGCTGAGGCAGCAGCTCAGATGTGCTCAAGATTCAACTCTGCCTGTCATCCTCCTTCCCGCCATGCCTGTGAGTGAGAAGCTTTTGTGAAGACCCCAAATCAACCTCATTAAGGAGACTGATGACATTAGGTGAGCAGACAGCCCTCTGTAGAGTTACTGGGAGGGCAAACCTGTACTGCAGTCTGCAGTTGTGCAGGGGTTAGGGCCAATAGCTAAGAGTCCTAGACTGAGGACGTCCTCAGAGAGAACTTCAAATTCAAGAAATGAACAAATACAAAGTCGGCTCTTAAAAAAAGAGAGAGGTTATGCCAATCTCATTTAGTTACTGTTGAATCATGATTTAATAAATGACTCAATACTGTAAGTGCAATGATCTGTATGAAGTATGAGAACTTACATTGAAACATCTGCCCTCAGGTGGGAAGGTGGATGGGAAGGGCGAAGGAGTGGGAATATGAAGTACTTCATATGCATATGTGAAAAAGAAAAGGAGATCTGTTGAAACTGCTTTAAGAAGGGAGAAATTAGGGAGAGGAGGAGTGAATTGATAGGATTACATGCATGAATGCCAATGTCAGAATGTCACAAATGAAATCCTTGGACAACCAATATAGGCTAATAAAAAACCTTTAAAAAGCTATCCAACTGGGCTGGGAAGATAGCTCACTGGTAGAGCGCTTGCCTTGCATGTATAAGGCCCTGGGTTCGATTCCTCAGTACCACATAAGCAGAAAAAAAAAAGAGCTGGAAGTAGCACTGTGGCTCAAGTGGTAGAGTGCTAGCCTTGAGCTGAAGAGCTGAGGGACAGCGCCCAGGTCCAGAGTTCAGGCCCGATGACTGGACCCCCCCCCACAAAAAAAAAAAAGCTATCCAACTATCCTTTTTATGACACATGGACAATAATGCAAGGTATACAATTAAATTCCTCACCTATGTGACTGATATAAGCCAAAAATTATGCAAAATATAAAAAAGATTTACACTGTCCTCATGCCTGGATGAGTGGCGTCCTTCCTGAGGGAAGATGCTGCAGTGTAAGTTCTCATACTCACATGGACCTTTATATTTATAGTCTAAGGCATTAGTTTAGTTGAATTTAAAATGCACCAAGTACAAAACAGACCCATAGGGTTGGAGATGTAGCTCAACAGTCAAACACTTGTTAGTACATACAAGCCTTGGCTTCTATCCCTAGGCACATGTGCGCTGAGCACACCCATAAACACACCCCACCAGCACCACCTCCAACAACAAAAAAGATCCACACGAAAGTAGGGTGCCAGTGGCTCACATCTGTAATCCTAGCTATTCAAAAGGCTGATATCTGAGGACTGTGGTTGGAAGTCAGCCTAGGCAGGAAAATCTGTGAGACTTTTATCTCCAATGAACTACCTAAAAGGCTGGAAGTGGAGCTGTGGCTCCAGTGGTGGAGTGCTAGCCTTGGGCAAAAAGGCTCAGGGACAGTACCCAGTCCTGAGTTCAAGCCTCAGGACCCTCACACACACAAAAAGGCTTTAAAGAAAAGGAAGCAATTCTGTTCCATAGACTTCACAATTTATAAATATTTGTATTGCTCATTTGAGTACGACTTCATATGAAAGAAATTTTATTCTCCAGTGACTTGCTAATAATGATACCATCACCACCACAGGACTGAGTCTGTGACCACCTTGCTCAACCCTTCCCCCTACTCCCTCCTCCTCCCCTTCTACCCCCTCCTCCTCAATCTGCACATCAGGTGAAAGAAATGTAGTTTCTAAGTAACACTGAGTTGCAAGAGGGCTGGGCGCTGTCCATGAGCTTTTCTGCTCAAAGGTAGCACTCTACCTCTTGAACCACAACTCCACTTCTAACTTTTTCCATGCTTAATTGGAGATAAGAGTTTCATGGACTTTCTTGCCCAGACTGGCTTTAAACTATGATCTTCAGATCTCAACCTCCCAAATAGCTAGGATTACAGGTATGAGTCACTGGTGCCTGTAATCTTTTTTTTTTTTTAAGCCCAGCACAACTATGTAAGAAACATTTGTTCAGTTGAAAACCTGATTTTTAATATGCATCCCAACCCAACTTAAATTATATATACCTCCAATGCTTAATCCAACCCAGAAAGCATACATTAGGAAGGAAGAGAGTTCACCCACTGTCATGTGGGCGGTGTCCATCAGCAGACCTCCCTTGTACAGGACCGCCAGCACAATCAGGTTCCCGGAGAGGCCGGCCTGTTGGGTGAAGGAAACACGGGAGTCAGGTGCAACTAGAGACTTGTCAGGTGCAAATGCATGAGTGAGGCCTCTGGCTTCCTTTGCTCGATATTAAAGTTCATATGCATGTTAAAAAAGTTTTGAAATATTTGTAACAGCGAAGGAAGTAACCTCATATCATGGAAATCTAGCTACTCAGGCACTCAGAGCCTATTTTACCCAATCCATTCAGCCTGCAAAGGAAAAAAATTAAAGTTCTTCTCTACTGAGAGGAAATGGACAAGAGCCTGCTGTGTTCACTTGTAGTGGAGTGTTCTCTACGCTGAGGCCGGCAGCCTGCCTCAGCGCCCTGCTTGTCTCTGGCCAGTGCCTTCCCCAGGCTGCTGTCAGTAATGGGAATGACTTAGTCACCTCTGAGGCTCTTTCCAGTTCGGACACGCTGTGAACTTGTCTGTAGGGCCATTTTCTATTCAGGGTCCTAGTTGAATACCTTGTGACCAATTTCTGAGATTTCTTTTGTTTGTTAAAATGCCAGTCCTGGAGCTTGAACTCAGGACCCAGATGCTTTCCCTGAGCTTTTTTGTTCAAGGATAAAGCTCTACTACTTGGCCACAATTCCATTTCTGGCTTTTTGAAGGTACACTGGAGATACAAGTCTTAGGTACTTTACTGCCCAGGCTGTCTTTGAACCATGATACCCAGATCTCAGTCTCTTGAGTAGCTAGGGTTATAAGTATGAGGCAACAGTGCCTAGCTGGTATTTCCTTTTGGAAAAGTACTAAAGTTGCCTACTCTTCTACAGGTTTTGTCAAGTTGGCTTGTATCAGGAGGCCTGTCCAACACCTGATGCTGCCTCAGCCTCTGAGGTCCATGTAGGGCTGAGAATCTGCATGGCTGTCCTGCAGCAGGATTGCTGAGAGCCATGTGGCTGTCCTGCAGCAGGAGAGCCAAGAGCCCCGAGGCTGTTCTGCAGCAGAGCCGAGAGCCACATGGCTGTCCTGCAGCAGAGCTGAGAGCCGCATGGCTGTCCTGCAGCAGAGCCGAGAGCCATGTGACTGTCCTGCAGCAGAGCTGAGAGCCATGTGACTGTCCTGCAGCAGAAGCTCACAGAGCTTCCCAGCCCCTCCCTAAAGACCAGTGCCTGCACTTAGCACATACTGCTTTCCCCCTAATCACACATACTTTTCCATTTCTCCTCACAACCATACTACTTATACCATCAAGAATTATCCACTTACTGCTCCAAAGAAGCCAGCCCGAGCAAAGGCCTCCTTCCTTGCTAGCTGTAGCACATGGTCTACTCCACCAGCATACTTGTCTACTTCTGTCGTCTCCTTCCCAAATGCCCGGACAGTTCTTACATTTCCAATGCGTTCCTCAGCTAGCTTGAGGAGGGCAAACACACAGAAGAAGGGGATCACACTTCAATCCACAAGCAAAATTAAAATCTGACTACCATTTAATGCACATCTATGGAAAACTCATAAAACAACTAAATCAGAAGACGGCTACAAAGCAGAATACACCAAAAATTCTATTAACACACACACACACAAATATATATGTAAGTATGCACACGTAGAAGAGATAATGACAGCTTGTAGGCAGAGATGATGATGGGGACAAACATAATAGGTTATAGATATAGACAGAGAATAGATATAAGCAGTTATAGGAGACAGATGACAGAAAGGTGGGTAGATATAAATGATACAGGTGATAGGTGAGTAGGTACAGAGGAATAGATTTAAATAATAATTGATGACAATAGATATAGATGGTAGATACGGATGGTAGATGATGATGACAACAGGTAGGTAGATATAATAAGTGGCAGATAAGATAGGCAAGTAGGCAGACAGGCAGAAGGGCAGACAGATAGATGTGTAGACATGAACAGGGCAACAGAGGTAGAAATGTTTATACAAGGGCTAGGGGCATGGCTCAAGTGGCAAAACACCTGTCTAGCAAGTACAAGGCCTTAAGTTCAAACCCCAGTACTACTAAAAATAAAACAAAGACAAAACAAGAGAAATGTTTATGCAGAGAAAAACAGATCATGGTTTTGTCTTTTTTTTTTAAATAATATTTTCACTTTTTGTGTGTGTGTTTGAAATGAGGTCTAACTCGCTGTGCTGTCCAGATTGGTCTAGAACTCTGTGCTCAGTGGGTCCTCCTGCCTCAGCCTCCTGAGTAGCTGTGATTACAGATGTGCTCAGCTTACTTGCACATTTTTTAGTGATGCACAAATATAGTTTTTGCAACATAAAAATGATACCTTCAGTTTTTATTCCATTTATTTTTTGCTGGTTGTTGGGCTTGAACTCAGGGCCTGGGCAATGTCCCTGATCTCTTTTGCTCAGGGCTAGTGCTCTACCACTTAAGAGCCATGGTGCCACTTCAACCTTTAGTTTGTAAAAAGATAGAATTGAATGGTACCACAAAGCTACCTTTATATATGTATCAATGAAGGAGATGGTTGTCTGGAAACCATTTCCAAGCCACTTTCGCTTGTCCTACCAGGGGCAGCAGGAAGTTGGTGCAGCTCTGGGGAGAGGGGACCCACTCTAGTGAGAACTGGTCTCAGAGGTGAAGTACGTCCTGTCTGGACCATGGACTCTAACATGAAGAAAGAAGGCACTGTTGTGGTTTGTTTTCTGGCTCTGGGATTTGAAAGGAAGGCAACGTTTCAGCAGCCACACATCCCACTTCTGCCCTGTGGCTTTGCCCTGCGCAGGAGGAACATGTTCAGAAAGGCCATTACCTGTGTAGCTTGAGCCAGCGAGTCCTGTGTGGCTTTGGACAGCTTCCGTAGATATCGTCCATAAATCACGGCCAGGATGGACATCGGAGGCACCACACTCAGAACAAAGGTGGCCAGACTAGGTGAGACAAAAAACTGCCCCCAAAAAACAGTCAAGAGTGTCATGTGGAGAGGCACACCATTCTTTTTTTTTTTGTCTGTCATGGGGCCTGAACTTTGGGCCTGGGCGCTGACCCTCAGCCCTTCAGCTCAAGGCTAGCGCTCTACCACTTGAGCCACAGCACCACTTCTGGCTTTTTCTGCTTTTGTGATACTGAAGAATCGAACCTAGGGCCTCTTGCATGTGAGGCAAGCACTTGACCACTGAGCCACCTTCCCAGCCCGAGGCACACCATTCCTACCACCCATGGGCGAGCTGGGAGGCAACTCCAAGCTGCATACCTCCTGTTTGGGCACAACTTTTCAGATCAGCTGTGATCTTCTTAAAGCCTCAAAAATATGTAGCATACTATAGAGAAACAGCACAGCAATGAGCTGCTGAAGACAAGATGGAAATGACTCACCCTCAGATCAACCTTACATTGCCAGACCACATTGTTCAACAGCATAGGATGAAGGACAAGTATCCAGGGGAGAGCCCTTCTGGGCCATGCTGGCCAGACCATGCTAGGGATTCTAAACTCAAGTCTGGAGCACTCATGTACCTATGACCGGAGCAACATGTCCCACACCAAAAGGACTGACTCTAAGGAGCCATCAAGGCCACCTCAGAGGGCAGCCCAGAGACACTCTGGAAGGACAGAGCTTGTGGGTCTGTCCTGTTCAGAACTTCTAACAACTGCTATGATTTCACACAAGAACCAGCTTCAAGAAGTATCAGAGAGGAATTCTGTCAACTTGGCAATTGTTTTAAGTGGTACTAGGAATTCTTCAGCATGTTAAAATAACCACTAGTACAAAAGCACTGCAGCCTGCAGTGAAAACTGATGAATGGATAAACCCAATATTTATCTCTCCTTCCTTCCTTCCCTCCCTCTTTCACTTCCTCCCTCCTTTTTTTTTTTTTTGCCAATTCCTGGCTTTGAACTCAGGGACTTGCTCTACCAGAGTTTTCTCTCAAGGCCAGCATTTTACCACTTGAACCACAACCCCACTTTTGGCTTTAGGCTAGTTAACTGGAGATAAGTGTCTCATGGACTTTTCTTCCAGGGGTTGGCTTTGAATCAGATCTTAGGCTCCTGAGTAGCTAGGATTCCAGGCATAAGCCATCAGTTCCCAGCTTCTTTTTGACTTTTTCTTTCTTGGTGTTGGAGATTGAACCCAGAACTTTATGCATGCTAGGCAAGTGCTCTACCACTGAGCTACAAATAATCTGAGTGCCAGCACAAAGCAAGTACTGTCCAGGCACTTGAGAAACAACTGTTGGTCCATGATTCATGAGTCAGATAATACACAAGGAAAAGAGAGAACAACTTCAGGTTGACCTAGTCTCATAGGCCTCTCCACCAAGGGGAAAGAGCAAATGAAAAGAGGCCTGGAGGCAGGAAACTGCTGGGCCCTTCCCAGGAGCAGCAGCTGTGACTGGGGATGAGCCACAGTGAGGATGTTCTCTAGGGCACCGCAATTACCCCCTGGGAGAGGCCATGTGATGTGTACTGTACATTAGGGCAGGCAGTCCCAAGAACCACCCCTGGTCACGGTGAGCTTCCTCCGGCGGCCCTGGCCCTCTACTCTGCCTCTAGGCTAGATGAAGAACCTGGTTACTAATGCCCCATCCTAGACTGGAATGAAGCATCTGCAACAACAAAAACAGGTCTTCATGAGTAAGAAGGGAAGGAGGAACGCAGTGCCCATGAACTGCCAGTGTAGTTCATGGGGTATGGGCAGAATTAGGTTCTTGTGATGTCAGGCCCAGGCTACAGGGAACCAAAGCTACCTTCAGTTCCTCCTAGATCGAGGTGCCTACCTCAGTGATGGCAGTGGCCATGGAGGCTGCGAGTACAGACAGCTCTTAAAGAAATAGCTAAGGGTGAATAAAGTGAAGGTGGGCCATGGACTGTAGGGTATCCCCACAAAGAGAAACAACAGAACATTCTCTTCACTACCCATACTACTACAAAGCAAGATGCCTGCCAGCCTCCTAAAAGCCAAGAAAAGCCCAGAACGGCCTTGGATTTCTGCTCTTTGAGCTCCCTGCCTGTGGTACCTGGCTCTGGTAACCCCAGCTGGCCATAATGGGGCCCTGCAAACCAGACATATTAGTACATACTGAATTATCACTCACTGCTATGAGAAGTTCTTCTAGGGTAGGCTTTTCCTGACATTTACACCTGTTCATATTGGGAAAAAAGAGTTCAGAGAAAGCCTTCCAGAGGTTTCTTTCCTTCCTAGCTAGGAAAATGAGATTTCAAAGCTGCCTTCCATCCCTAGCAGAGAGACTCACCAGGCCCTTCTGCCCCAGGCTTTTGCTGCACAAGGCCCCAGCTTTCTTACTCATGAAAAGGTTACAGGAGATGCAGCCCACCAGTGTAAAACTACACTGAAATGTGTGTGTGAGGGGGGGGTCTGATAGAGAAGCTGAATTTTTACTTACTTTTGATTACTTTAAATTTAAAAACCAATTTTTCACTCATTTACTGGCCAACTTAACTCTGCCTGAAAACTTGGGTATAGCAAACTGTTTCACAGTTGTAAACTTTAGCAAATCAAGAATTTCTAATGAAATTGTGCATCCAGCCTGAGATGTCTACAAGTATAAAATATACACCAGGCTTTGAAATCACAATATGAAGAGGGCACTAGAGAATGTTGCTCTAGTAATTTTTTTAATTGGAGTCTCACTATGTGGCCCGCACTGGTCTTAAGGCCACTGTTTTCCTCCCTCAGCCTCTGTAGTACAACACCAAATCTGGTTCATTACTCATTTTAATCAATTGCATGCTGAAATATTTTGCATACCCTGGGTCAAATAAAATATACAAATTAACCCTGTCTGCTTCCTTTTACTTTTTGAATATGAACAGTGAAGACTAGATTGCATTCCCAGCTTTTACATTTTGAATATGAACAGTGAAGGTTAGATTGCATTCCCAGCTTTTACTTTTTGAATATGAACAGTGAAGACTAGATTGCATTCCCAGCTTTTACTTTTTGAATATGAACAGTGAAGACTAGATTGCATTCCCAGCTTTTACTTTTTGAATATGAACAGTGAAGACTAGATTGCATTCCCAGCTTTTACTTTTTGAATATGAACAGTGAAGACTAGATTGCATTCCCAGCTTGTGCTATTGCCACAGAGAAGACACTGAGCCACTTGGTAGAGGGAGGAAGACCATGGTGGCTCAGACACCCCACCCCACCCGCCTTGCAGGAGCATAGCCTGCACAAGGAGGAGATGGGATCTCTGTTCCTCTGTCCCACTGCGAGACACCCACAGGGCTCCTCTATCTGACTTGACGCTTCTTCTTTTGTTTTCTTTCCTCTCCCTCCTTCTCTCTTTGATGGTACTGAGGTCTGAACTCAGAGGGCCTTTGCTCCCAGGCAGGTTCTCTACCACTTGGGCCATGCCCCAAGTCTTTTTAGCTGTAGGTTGTTCCTTAGAGGTCTCATGTTTTTGAAGAGAGCCTTGGAACATGAACCTCCTATCTACATCTACTAGGGTAGTTAGGGTTACAGACATGAACAACCACACCTGGCGGGCTTGTTCTGCCTCTAGGGTGGTGGGGGCTGCAGCTGGAGCTCTCCAGGTCTGAACCAAGATGCTCTTGATGCCTAAACTCCCTGAGCCCACAATCCTCAGAAAGCCTGGGACCAAGCAAAGGCCATTATGGAAAGAAACAGGCCGGGAGGCCAGACAGGAAAGGCAAGCCTTATGCCCAGCCTCCAGAACTTACAGAAAGACAGAAATAGCTTGCCATGAGTCTTTCCACACTTCCAAGTCCTGGCCAAGGATTCCCAACCAGAAAGCATGGAGGAAGGAGGTAGACGTACCATCATGCCAATGCCAACCGAGGCCTGGGCCCCAGCCCTGAGCCCATCTGAGAGGTTTTCTGTCACGGAGCGCCCCAGCAGCGCGGTGTCTGAGGAGAGGCGGTTAATCAGTTCTCCTGTGCGCGTCTTGTCAAAGAAAGCAACCTCCTGCCTCAGAATGGAGGAGAAGAGCGACGTGCGAAGCCTGTTCACGATGCGCTGACCTGTGGAACACACAAGAGGGCTCCTGGTTCACTTCTGGGTGGACCCAGCGGGGCGGCCGCCCACCTACCAGCCACCTGGCCTGGGTGGAAGCCCCCGAGCGGCGTGCCTGCTGCTGGGGTCTCAGCGGTGGGATGGTGGCTGGCCCTGCATGCCAGCAGCCTCACCTCAGTCAGCACCGAGATACAGTTAACCAAGTTACAGACCATGGATGCCAAGGAGAAGAGATGTGGTAAAATGAACACATCAGGACTCAGAGACCTTTACAGAGTATGAGTTACCAAGAACTTTTACAACGTTACTTTCCAAGAGTTGCTTTATTCAATCCTGGCAGCCCTGTTCTGCACTGGCCCAGCCAGGTGAGCTCGGGCTGAGCGCCCTGGCCTCACTCCGCACCGAGAGGGCCACCTGCTGCTCACAGGCCTCTCCAGAGGGACAGACATTGCAGCCCACCCTTGCTGCACGGTACAGGCAGATGAACACATCCTTGTCGAAGCCCAGGACTCTAACCCATGGCTAGTGCCTGTGAAACCTCTTGTAAGGCAGATGTGGGGTCTTCTCCATGGGTTAACCCTATCTAAACAAAAGAATTGAGAAGTCTGAGCCAGGAAGGTAATCCATACCATCCGGCCAAACACTGGATGCCAAAAGAGAGGGAGATACCAGATCTTGAAGTAGTGAGGTGTGAGGTCCCCCAGTCCCCCGGGGGTCTCTGCATGTCTGAGGTGAGAGGTCCCCAGATCCCTGGGGGCCTCTGCATGTCTGAGGTGGCTTATCCCCCAAGAGACTGACCTGAAGACTGCATGAGGTAGACACGGACGGCATTGGCAGCAGCGCCACACAGAAACACGCCGGCAAGGCCCAGGCAGAGGCTGGTCAGGCTGCGGCCGTGGTCCACAGCGGGGTCGGTGTAGATGACATCGATGATCTTCCCAAGGAAGAAGGGGGCAGACATGGTGACCACACTGGACACAGCCAGAAACCCAACAGCAGCTGCAAGGGAGGGTACATGCTCACACTCGCAGCAGAGGGGAGGTAAGAGGGGTGTGTACTCACACTTGCAGCAGCGGGGAGGTGGCAGAGGTGTGTACTCACACTTGCAGCAGAGGGAAGGTAGGAGAGAAGGGTGTGTGCTCACTCACACTCGCAGCAGAGGGGAGGTGGGAGAGGGGTATATGTGCTCACACTTGCAGCAGAGGAGAGGTAGGAGAGAGGGTGTGTGCTCACACTGGCAGCAGAGGGGAGGTAGGAAAAAGGTGTGTGTGCTCATACTCGCAGCAGAGGGGAGGTAGGAGAGAGGGGTGTGTGCTCACACTTGCAGCAGAGGGGAGGTGTCAAGGAGGGGTGTATGCTCACTCACACTGGCAGCAGAGGGGAGGTGGAGAGAGGGGTGTGTGCTCACTCATACTCGCAGCAGAGGGGAGGTGCTTCAGTGGCCAAGGCTTTCTTCCTCCTGCCCTGGACCCTGCTAAGTGAAAGACCAGAGGGCTCCAGGCTGAGAAAAGGCAGGAGGGGGAGAGGAATCCATGAGACTCATCTCCAATGGACTGAAAAGTAGGAGGTAGAAGTGTAGCTCAGCTGGCCTTGAGTGAAAAAGCTCAGAGACAGCATCCAGGCCTGAGCTAGCCCCTCACATTTATTTAGTGCACATCTTGTTTCTTCCGTGTTCTGAAGTGCATTTTACCCTTGGTCAATTTCAACCACAACTGACAGCTCAGCAAGAGAGTGTTACGGTTTTCTGACACAGGATCTGTAGCCCATAGATACACGCATGGATATACTGGACTCCCTAGGGCGGCTCCCACTCCAGAGCCTTCTCCTCTCCATCCCTCAGGCCCTGGCTAAGCCTGGGGCCCCAGCAATCCAAGCACCTCCCCATCCATTCCTTGCTCTGTTTACATGAACTTTGTGAAAGCCACAAACTCTGAAAAATAGTGTAGAAAGACAGTAGCTTGCAAGAATGGCCAGCTCTCAGACCACACAACCCTTGATCGTAACTCAAGGGAGCTGCTTGCCTCTTGGGACCTCCTTGCTGCTAGTCACCTCTTCTTGTGCAAGGACAGTGTCCAGAGGCCCACTGCTCACAGAGAGGGCTACACCCAGGCCTCCTATCTGCCACGCACAGGGCAAGCCTCACCAAAGACCTCCTGTCAGGCAAGTGCACACCCTGCTCCTCCCAAGGTTCCTAGTGGCCAAAGTGATAAGAGGAAGAGTTATCCATGCAAAAGGGCTCCAGGTGTCTCTGCAGGCCAAGGATAAGCAGATAGTTGCAATCCAAGGAGCAGGGTCGGGTCAGCAGCAGGCCCTCCTGAGAGACATGCAAACCATGCCCACCTTGTTCTGCTGACATTTCAAACAACAGACTCTGGTCTTCAAGTTTCTGACATAAATTACTTCACATAAAAGTTTCCTTACCATACTGTTTGGGCTGCAGACCCAGCAAACTGCTGAAGTTGGGTGGAAATATTCAAATATATACCCACACTTTGGGAAAAGGACTTGTGGGTTCTCTAAAAATTAACAAACTACTGCTGAAATTTCTGGTCTTCTTTGTTTTTGGGAGTCTACTTAAAGACACAAAGAAAAACAGATGCTGCCACACAACGGCTGTGCAGCATTTCAGAGGCTGCCCAGTACCAAGTACTTCCCAGTGATTACAAAGTTGAAGCCTTGGGAGCTTAAGTGGTAGAGTGTTCCCAAGGCCCTGGGTTCAATCCCCAGTACCACAAAAGGTAAAATAAAAGTATGAAAATCTATATACTGTAGAATGTACAAATATGCCTCACTGGAGGGCACGGCTAGAGGTAGGAGCACCTGCCTAGCAAGCACAATTCTGGCTGAGTTCAAACTCCAGTACCACCAAAAAAGAATTTGCCTCACTTAAAATTTTTTAGAAACAATGACACCCATTTCCCCTAAATCCCTCATTCAGAGTGACTTTAAGGTTAGGCATAAATATGACTTCTGAGGAAAACTTAACTTTAGAAAGAATTTCTCAGCTAGGCACTGGTGGCTCACACCTGTAGTCCTAACTACTCAGGAGGCTGAGATCTGAAGATCATGGCTTCACGCCAGCCTGGACAGGAAAAACTTTATGAGACTCTTATCTCCAATAATCCACTAGAAAATCGGAAGTGGTGCTGTGGTTCTACACAAGCCTTGAGTGAAAAAGCCCAGGGTCAGTGCTCAGACCCTGAGTTCAAGCCCCATGACCACTTAAAACAAAAGGATTTCTCATCAGATGTCTTCAAAATAGAACATGTATTGGTTACCTTTTTAAAACTAAAAATCCTAGCACCTGGGAGGTAAGATGGCCTCAATCAAGTGTAAGGCCAGCTTATGCTACATTTTGGGGGGAAAAAATGTAAGAAAGAAATTAATGTACCAGCTTTAGGACTATTTTTCAGATAACTTGAGGGGTTGGTTGAAGGGCTAACCTTGAACTCAAGGCCTGGGTGCTGTACCTGAGCTCTTCTGCTCAAGGTGAGTTTTCTACCATGTTGAACCACAGCTCCACTTCCAGGTTTTGAGTGGTTAATTGGAGGTAAGAGTCTCACAGGGACTTTTCTGCCCAGGCTGGCCTTGAACTGAGATCCTCAGATTTCAGCCTCCTGAGTAGCTAGGATTACAGGTGTGAGCCTGGCTTATTTTTCAGATTTTATGCTCAATATTTCACCAGTACAGCCCAATATGGTTCTGACACTGAAAGCAGAGGTCTTAAGGCATTCTGTCTGGCAGGACATGTAGGGACAGGTAACAGGTCACAGGGACAAAGGTCATGGATAAGCAAGACCTGAAAACCACAACATCTTAGTTTCAAAAACAGAAAAATGGCTTTCCCCACAGACTTCTCCCATTCTGGGCATCTAGTGTTTAGATTGTATCTGAGCCTGGCAGAATGCCATCTACTCCTCTCCCTCAGGACTCCAGACTTTGCGACACACAGACAGACAGACAGACACACACACACACACACACACACGAACGAACGAGTCAGGACCAGGAATGAGATGCAGCTTGCCTCAGCATCCCATCTCAGAGTCTTTAAAGACAGCAGAGGAAAGGTTCCCCTTTTCCATCAAAATCTGCAACCACAATCCAATGGTTAAGGTTACTGACTCCCTTTACACCTCAATACACACCAGGGGTGAAGCTATCCTGCCACAGCAGTGGGCCATGGGCCCTGGGGTCCTCCTCTGCAGAGGAACTTGTCCCCAGGTCCTACCTCTCACTGGGAGGACGAGTTGTATGAGTGGGCTCTCTCACGTGGGAGTGGGACAGGACAACCTCCACAGGCCCTCTTTCAAAGTTTTCACTGGGATTTTGGGTTTTCTCTCCAGTTATGACTTCCTTGGTGTTCCTTCCCACGGTGGCCTCCCAGGGCGGGGAGGGTTCTGCTTGACTGCATAGCCACTTAGCAGAGTGCAGCCTATCTTCATGAAGATTCATAAGACTTTCAAAACTCTAGCTCTGGGTACTACTAGTCCTTACATTTAAGGCTGTGGGTTCAGATCACTGTGTGAAATACTGTCGACTACCAAATAAGCTTTCCTAACTCTAATTTTTAACTTTTGGTACCCATCCTAGGGCTTGAATTCGGGGCCTAAGCACTGTCTCTGAGCTTTTTTGCTCAGGGCTAACACTCTATACCACTTGAGCCACTGCTCCACTTTCCACTTTGGTTGGTTAATTGGAGATAAGAATCTCCAGGACTTTCCTGCCCAGGCTGGTTTTGAACCTCCACATCCTCAAATTTTAGCTGAGTAGCTAGGATTACAGACGTGAGCCACCGGGGCGTCGGCTGTGTGTTTGTTTGTTTGTTTTTTTTTTTGTAGTAGTATAAACCAGTAAAATGAAGAAGGTAGCATGCAGTGGTAGAAAACGACCTCGGGCAGGTTTGCTCGTGAAGTTGGGGCCAGGCCCAGACCCAGACCCCAGACCCAGATCCAGACCCCAGGCTTCAGACCCCAGAGCTGGGGCCAGGCCCAGACCCAGACCCCAGACCCAGATCCAGACCCCAGGCTTCAGACCCCAGAGCCCAGGCCCAGAGCCAGACCCCAGGCTCCAGATCCCAGAGCCCAGGCCCAGACCCCAGGCCCCAGCGCGGGCCCCTCCTCAGAGGTGCCGGAGCTCCTGCCCCGACGGCAGCCGTGCCCCGCGCGTCCTCGTTCACGGCTCCTACCTGACAGCCTTCCGCGCTCGGGACGCACCAGCCCCAGAAGCCTCCGGGCTTCCGAGCGCCGCCGCGAAGCGTCTGCG